TAATTGGCACTTCAACTATTTGAGTTAACTTACATGTAGCAAACACATTATTTTTCACAAGGTAAAGTCAAAACATGCAAATTCTAGTGTTTTATTTGTTTTTTTCCTTCTCGACTCCTTTTTACGTGCTTTTTTCTGTCGACGGTGTTGTTGCGAGTGACGGATAATTTTGCCTTACATAATAACGGTGTTTGAGCCAGAGAATCAATCTAGGATTTATCTATCCCTCCCCTATCCCTTGGCAACTAGGGCAAACTTCCCCTCTCCAAACTTCATCAGCGAGCCCGTGGATTCGCCTCCCCTCTGCCTGCCGCTCCCGTGGGCAATGGCTGGTGGCGTGAGGGGAATCTCGATGCCTCCGCTCTAGTTAGTAGCTTAGGTTAAGGTTTTTTAGTCCTTGCAGGTGCGGCGCTCGGGCAGATGGCGACGCTTCTTCTTCGAGTTTGTCTTTCGAGCTCCGATCCTCCTTGAGTTCGTCCATCTAGACATAGTCGACGGAGCACCGACGTAGAATCCTGCCGTCTCCTTGGGAAGGTGAGGTTAGGGTTTCTCGTCATGTTGCGAGATTTGGTGTCAGGTATTTCAGATTTATTCAAGGGTTCAGTGACAATGGTTGCAGCTCTAGGGCGCCGGTCCTTAGGGGCACGTGCATAAAGACTTTCCCACTATCATCGACAAGGTCAAGCCAGTTTCGATAGGGGAGCGCGGCGTAGGTGCGGGGTGAATACTGGAAATGGCAGCTGCGTTGCGCTGATGGACACACAAGAGGTTAATATTTTCTTCTCTCTTTTATGATAATTAATGTTTTTTTTTTCTCCTAAAAACAAAACAGGTTTATTTTTCAGGTTATTTGTAAGTCACCCAAAAAATAAATTGCGCGTTAGAGCACCCTATAAAAAGTGTCAAAAACACTTTTATATTATGAAATGAAGGGATTACCGTTTACAAGAAGTTGAGACAAAACAAAAAATGCCTTCAACGGCTCCCGTAAACCCGAATATTTTATGGAATCCCTTACAATCACCTCCTCCGTCCTGCAAGTTTACGGGAAGAAAGTTTTTCCATATAATTTTGACGGATGGATAATCACTTGAAACTTCACGACAAGGAGATTCTTGTGTCACGCCGGCTCGCTACCGGTCGCCGACATGCGGGGTTGCCACTGTGCACCACCAGATTGGGCATTTTCGTCACACCGCGCCACCGCCGCCACACGACCACGACGTCGTCGCCACGCCACCACACCGCCCCCGGGTGCTGCCATGTTGAGCTACCACCACCACGCCATCGCCGGGCACCGCCACGCCGGGTCACTGACTTATAGGTCCTGGGCCATTTCTAGGCTAGTTTAATGGAAACAACACAAAGAAAGATGTTTACGGAAACTGAGAAAAGTTGTCACTGAAAAATTTCCCTCAAATTTCACGATCATCCCATAAAAATGATTTAAAAAAAGTATTTTAGGGGAGCTATTGGAGTTGCTCTTAGTGGATCCCCTCTCCCGTCTCCCGACGGCCGGCCCAACCGATGTTCCACACCACCTACGACTGGCATCATCAGCGCACCACCTCGCCTTTCCAGGTTGCCCCTCTTCAACCCTTGTACTCTCGTTCATCGGCAACACTGTAGACAATCGTGTTGTATCCATCTCCGATGTGTTCCAGGTACGCCATTGCACCCCCTCTTTACCTCAGTGTTGCACGGAAATAATTGGCACTTCAACTATTTGAGTTAACTTACATGTAGCGACCACATTATTTTTCACAAGGTAAAGTCAACATGCAAATTCTAGTCTTTTATTTGTTCTTTTCCTTCTCGGCTCCTTTTTACGTGCTTTTTTCTGTCGACGGTGTTGTTGTGAGTGACGGATAATTTTGCCTCACATAATAAAGGTGTTTGAGCCAGAGATTCAATCTAGGATTTATCTATCCCTCCCCTATCCCTTGGCAGCTAGGGCAAACTTCCCCCTCCAAGCTTCATCAGCGAGCCCGTGGATTCGCCTCCCCTCTGGTTGTCGCTCCCGTGGGCAGTGGCTGGTGACAGGAGGGGAATCTCGATGCCTCCACTCTAGTTAGTAGTTTAGATAGGATTTTTAGTCCTTGCAGGTGCGGCGCTCGGGCGGATGGTGGCGCTTCTTCTTCGAGTTTGTCTTCCGAGCTCCGATCCTCCTTGAGTTCATCCATCTGGACATAGTCGACGGAGCACCGACGTAGATTCCTGTCTTCTCCTTGGGACGGTTAGGTTAGGGTTTGTCATCATGTTGCGAGATTTGGTGTCAGGTGCTTCAGATCTATTCAAGAGTTCAACGACAATGGTTGCAGCTCTAGGGCGCCGGTCCTTAGGGGCACGTGCATAAAGACTTTCCCACTATCATCGACAAGGTCAAGCCAGTTCCGATAGGGGAGCGCGGCGCCGGTGCGGGGTGGATACTGGAAATGGCAGCTGCGTTGCGCTGATGGACACACAAGAGGTTAATATTTTCTTCTCTCTTTTTTGATAATTAATGTTTTTCTTTTCTCCTAAAAACAAAACAGGTTTATTTTTCAGGTTATTTGTAAGTTACCCAGAAAATAAATTGCGCGTTAGAGCGCCCTATAAAAAGTGTCAAAAACACTCTTATATTATGAAACGAAGGGATTACCGTTTACAAGAAGTTGAGACAAAAAAAATGCCTTCAACAGCTCCCGTAAACCTGAATATTTTACGGAATCCTTTATAATCACCTCCTCCGCCCTGCAAGTTTACGGGAAGAAAGTTTTTCCATATAATTTTGACGGATGGATAATCACTTGAAACTTCATGACAAGGAGATTCTTGTGTCACGCCGGCTCGCTGCTGGTCGCCGCCATGCGGGGTTGCCACTGTGCACCACCAGATTGGGCATTGTCGTCACACCGCGCCACCGCCGCCACATGACCACGACGTCGTCGCCACGCCACCACACCGCCCCCGGGCGCTGCCATGTTGAGCTACCACCACCACGCCATTGCCGGGCACCGCCACGCCGGGTCATTGACTTATAGGTCCTGGGCCATTTCTAGGCTAGTTTAATGGAAATAACACAGAGAAAGATGTTAACGGAAACTGAGAAAAGTTGTCATTGAAAAATTTCCCTCAAATTTCACGATCATCCCATAAAAGTGATTTAAAAAAAGTATTTTAGGGGAGCTATTGGAGTTGCTCTTAGTGGATCCCCTCTCCCGTCTCCCGACGGCCGGCCCAACCGATGTTCCATACCACCTACGACTGGCATCATCAGCGCACCACCTCGCCTTTCCAGGTTGCCCGCCTTCAACCCTTGTACTCTCGTTCATCGGCAACACTGTAGACAACCGTGTTGTATCCATCACCGATGTGTTCCAGGTACGCCATTGCACCCCCTCTTTACCTCAGTGTTGCACGGAAATAATTGGCACTTCAACTATTTGAGTTAACTTACATGTAGCGACCACATTATTTTTCACAAGGTAAAGTCAACATGCAAATTCTAGTGTTTTATTTGTTCTTTTCCTTCTCGGCTCCTTTTTACGTGCTTTTTTCCGTCGACGGTGTTGTTGTGACTGACGGATAATTTTGCCTCACATAATAAAGGTGTTTGAGCCAGAGAATCAATCTAGGATTTATCTATCCCTCCCCTATCCCTTGGCAGCTAGGGCAAACTTCCCCCTCCAAGCTTCATCAGCGAGCCCGTGGATTCGCCTCCCCTCTGGTTGTCGCTCCCGTGGGCAGTGGCTGGTGACAGGAGGGGAATCTCGATGCCTCTACTCTAGTTAGTAGTTTAGATAGGATTTTTAGTCCTTGCAGGTGCGGCGCTCGGGCGGATGGTGGCGCTTCTTCTTCGAGTTTGTCTTCCGAGCTCCGATCATTCTTGAGTTCATCCATCTGGACATAGTCGACAGAGCACCGACGTAGATTCCTGTCGTCTCGTTGGGACGGTGAGGTTAGGATTTGTCATCATGTTGCGAGATTTGGTGTCAGGTGCTTCAGATCTATTCAAGGGTTCAACGACAATGGTTGCAGCTTTAGGGCGCCGGTCCTTAGGGGCACGTGCATAAAGACTTCCTGGCTATCTTCGACAAGGTCAAGCCAGTTCCAATAGGGGAGCAACGACAACAACGCGTAGGCGGCTCATTCTGACGGCGGTAGTGGCCGTCGGTGGTCTCGAAATCTCGGTGTAATTTTTATTATGTTTAAAGTGATTTGTACTTCCTATGGACTTTAACAATAGATCTGGAGCATTTTTGCAAAAAGAAGTTATTTGAGCCCAACACACTACCTGTATTGCTTTTGTTTTTCTTTTGCCGGGAAACTTGCATGTCTGTTGTAAGTGTAACATCTAAACTCTTATCATTTTCTTTATGATCGATAAGTACAGATCGCCCTAGTCCTTATAACGAGATAAGAAATGTTTGCTGAACCAAGTCGAAAATGAAGTAGCATCATGAGTTGCAATTTTCAAGCCATGCATGACCAGAACGCAACTGCCATAAAGACTACTACTAGGCAGTCACGATCTAGGTATAATCATGCTTCTCATCTTGTGATTCAGTGTCAATATACGAAGAAGAGTTTTGTACCAAAACTGGCACACAATTTAGACAAAAATGTTTTGCCTGGCGCCCTGGCCTTTGTTTCTGTCACGGCGCTTATTTTCTCCACCAACCTCCCGGATGGTGCGCTGAAACAGGCAAACTCAAGATTCAAAACGCAAACACAGCAACATGGTAAAGAGAAGCTGCAACAAGGCGTCGCCGCCTGGTTTTAAACCAGGTTCAGGACCAACAACTCGTCGAAAAGAAAGCCCAGCAACAAAAATGCTTCTGCTAAAACTAAATAAAGCGAGACTTAACGTACTTCAAACCATTTTTCTGAGTTTCACCAAACAACGAACAAGGCAGGTTTCCAGCATAGTACCAAAAGATAGAAAGCAGGAAAAAAATGTGGCAGTAACAGCTAACAGGACCATCCTTATTCAGTATCAATATATCAAGAAGAATTTTGAATCAAGCTGAACAGACCATTTAGACAAAAAAATATTTTGTCTGGCCTTTGTTTCTGTCACCGCGGTTATTTTCTCCAGCAAACTTCCTGGATGGTGCGATCAGACAGACAAACTCGAAGATTTGAAACACGGACACTGCAACAGGGTAAGAGAAGATGCAACAAAAGGTGTTGCCCCCTGGTTTTAAACCAAGTTCAGGTCCAACCACTCATCCAAAAGAATGCGGAATGCCCAGCAGCTAAAATCCATTTTCATGAGTTTCACCAAACAACAAACACGCAGGTTTCCAGTACAGTGCCAAAGGATAGAAAGCTGGAAACTAAATATGGTGGTAACAACTAACAGGACTGTCGTTACAGACATATTCAGAGAGACACACAATGCTTCAGACCACCATCACAAGCGAGCATGTATCACATCTCAAGCGAGGCAAGGGACCCATAGGCTTCTGGAAACCGAAACCTATACAAAACATGACGATGCAGTAAGTTTGGTTTTGAATTCCAAGATCTCAACTGACATAGACGGATAATAGCTTGCCTAGCAGTTTGATGTAGAAGAACTATCATGCAACTTTAGCAACTGTTTTTTCTCTCAATGTGGCATCGACCAAATTTTATTTTTTTACACAAAAGTTTAGCATTGTGACAGCAACATATTACATATATGATCACTCAGATACATCAGCACTCAAGAGGGTTTCAGACTTCAGACAGTAGTGAGACAGGCATGCAATTTGGCCATCAAACACTAGTCATGAAACTGACAACAGGCTAGTAACAACAGTGAAACAAATGAGGCAGTACACTATCACCCCTCAGTTGAAGATTTTTAGAAAATTTAATGTGCCAAGTAGAACAAGAGCAAAGATAAAACTCAATTTCAAGACGAAAATGACTACTATTTCCATCAGTAATTAAACAGTAAAAGAACACAGGATCAAACCCAAATGATTTTTGCATGGATGGAACAGATTTACAGAAACAACAGATTTATAGGCACAACGGCAATGGTAACTATTGTATTATCACCAGTAATAACAAAGCAATTAATTTCGGTGAAACCTAACAGTCGTTCTGAACTACGCCAGCACACAATCCAATAATGGACACTGAATATAAATAGATTTCAAAAGGGTCTCATATACTCTTGAGTGTTATTTAATTCCAACAGAGATGATAAAACAAGTAGGAATATCATAGGAAAAAATGAAGAAATGACAAAGGTTACTTACGGTATGAGTGATGCTAATTTGATCACGAAGTATGCCACATGTACTCAAGAACTTCAGAATTTTGTGAACTCCCTCATCGACCTTTCTACATTCAATGTTGACAACCTTAAGGTGCGAGCATACAAATGATTGCTCTATCTTTTCTTCTGCTCCTGTTGCTCTAACGAATTTCTGTGATACAATTTAGTTAGATCAACGGAATATACATATAGTTCCTTTAACAGTACAACAATGTCTTCATATATATATATAGGTTATACCTCAGTGCTACCAAGCTGAAGAGTGAGCACCTCAAGAACTGGAGAGTGTTGGAGAATGCACAGTAGGTCAATAGTCGTAAACCACTCATTGAGTGATAGAGTCTTTAGTTTGTCAAATATAGGGCAGCATTCTAAATCCCATCTATAGATAAACTGCACAAATAGCAAGCAAACAAAATGGAACTTTAAGACTCTAGAAGAAATAATTTCCGGTAGTAGGAACATTGGGTAGATACTTTAATTTCAAACTACCAAATAGCAAAGGAACAAAAAAGAACAGTGAGACTCAAGAAGGCGAAACAATTTAAGTAAGTAGGAAGTTTGGGTAGATACTTTGATTTCAGGCATAAAGAAAGACAGAACTACAGCTCAAGCCCTGGAAATACATTTTATCCAATCAAGCTACAATGTTATTAAAATTATTAATTTAAAACCAATTGGTGGAGATAAAAGTAGCAACCTGTGGTAATGAGAACATGTATATGCAGGTCTAACAGTGGACAGAGATGTTACAAAGAATCCATGGGTGGCACATAACAACAAGAGTAAAAAAGGAAGTAAGTGTAAATGTACCAGTTCGAAATAAGCATCGCCTACCAACTCCAAATTCACAGCATTGGACAAACCATGGAGAAGCACACCTTCATCAACTGGATAAGCATGACAGCTACAGTCCTCATACTCACAGTTCTGTCGGTTACTATGACAAGAATCATAGCAACTATTGTGAAGCCAAACATAAGCTGTTTCTAGAGATGGCATGTATTCAAGGGAAGGGGTCAAGCCATCAAAATTATCAAGTTGCAGTGAGATAAGACCCGGAGCAAATATCCGAATGTGAAACTTCGTAGGGAAGGAACAAAAGTCGGTAATGCAGAGACGCTTTAGCGATTTGGAAGATATCCTGCGTGCATCAATGTAGCAATCTTGCATCTCTAGTTCCTCCAATACTGAGCAGCGCGAGAAATTCAGAGTGGAGCGTTTTAGGTCAACCCGATTAAGGTGTAGGATCTTCTAGTGCTGGGAGATGAGAGGCACATCGAGTACTAGTGGGTCATACTCAATGTCATTATCATCATCTTCTTCAATAGCAACACTGAGCTGGAGCTCCTTAACTTGGCACTTTAGAGCATACTGGATCAACAGCATGGTGTTTGTGTATGTGCGCTCATCATCATCATCATCATCAAGACAGCCAACGATCTTGCACTTGTCGAGAGGCGAGTCCCCGCGGAGGTGGATGAAGAGCTTCACCAGCTGTTTGAAACGTTCGGAGCTCGGGAAACTCGACTGGTCAAAGATGAGGGGCAGGCTGGTGGTGCGCCTGCAATGGTCACGCCACCCGGTGTCGAGCACGCAAGTTTGCAGAGCATCAGCCGCAGGCAGAAAGGACAGCACGTGCCGGAGGAGGTCGTCAGTGAGGTCGTCGAATTGACACCTGCCGCTCGCCGCAGTCTTGTTGAGCATTCCGTCGAACAGGTGGCGCGCCCTGCGGGAGCGGAAGAATAAATGAATCAGCAGAAACACGAGAAAAGTGGGGAGTGTAGCATCACCGAATCAGGGAATCCCTTGATCCAAGAGCAGGCAGCATCACCTGAGCTCGGCTCGTGAACCCAATCCAAGAGCAGGCAGCACCGACCGACTTCTCCGGCCCAAGTCAGCACCGAGGTCTCCAAGCTCGTGGAGGAGCTCCCGCCCCTGGCGTCCACTTCCCTCGGCGTCTTCGGGTGCGTGCTCGGGGGCTTCTTCCGGAGCCGCCGGAGCTCCCCACGCCGGTGAGCGAGAGGGCGGAGGAGCGAGCGCGGCGCGAGGTGGATAGTGGAAATGAATTTATTTTTTTGAGGAACCAGTGATTCTTGAGATGGGCTGTGTGATATCAGTGAAGGTCTTGGCCCAGCTCATGGATTAAGAAATCGCTGACATCTGCAGCACTCTTGCCAGCTTGGCCCAGCTTCTGGTCTTTTTTTCTCTCAACAAAAAAGAAAAGAGAGATCACTCGCTCTCGAGCTGGCTGCTCTCTTCTCTTGCCAGGAGAGAGGGAGATCGTCAAGGGCGTGTTTGGTTGCCCGCATTAGGCCCAGCCTGACTTGGGCGGGAAGAATTCAGCCCGTTTGATTTCCTGCATTCATCATGCGGCCATCGCACGAAACTTAAAGCATGTCCAGGCCAGGCCCAGGGGAAACTCATGAATCGGCAATAGCTCGCAAGCCTGGCTCGCGCGAGGCAGGGGAGGGCGACACGCTTCTTCCCTCGTGCGAGCAGGGGAGATGGTGCGAGCTCGCCCGCGTCGTCGAAAAATCGGCGGGAGGATTTCGGCTCACCTGGAGCCTCTCCACCCCTATTTAGCCCCTTCCTCACCGCCCCAACTCCCGCCACCATTCTTCCTCCGTTCGCGCTTTTCCGCCGATGCGCATCGGCACCGACGAGCAGGTAAGCGGCGCATCTTCATCGGCCGGCGGTCCACGGCGTCGGAGCTCCTTCACCGGCTGGCGTTCATCTTCCACCACCATCCCCCCTCGTCCTCAAGCTGCAGCCATGGCCTCTGTGAGTTCAACCCCCCTTTCTCTCTGTTCCTTCTAGCTAGATCTGAGTTGCAGCTAGGGTTTGATCTAGATGCATGGTTGATTAGTGGTCTGATCTATGAGCTGATATGGTTGGTTGCTATGATGCGGTTGCAATTTGTGGTAGGGCTAGATGCTCAAGCATGTGGTAGGCTAGATTAGTAGTAGAGTTTGAAGTTGAACCTTGTGCTTGCGTTGAATCATGCTTAGATCTGTGATTTGTAGCTATTGGTGGTCCATTTGTAGCATGCTATTTGTTGTAGATGTATGTTCCTGCTCAAAGATTGTCTAGTATGCTTACTATGATAGTGATGAAGCATGTGCTTGCTATGATAGTGATGAACCATGTACATGTATGCTCCTGCTTTCATGGATTGTTCGGTATGTTGTGTGATATGCTCACTGTCAATGTGTGCTACGATTGTAGGACATGACTACGCAGACATAAGATCTTAGTCAGGCCCTTGTCGTGTCCGACAGCCAGTTTGCTCCATCGTTTGTCGAGGACTCGCAGCCTATGTCCGAGATGGCACCTGATTCAGAGGTGTTCGAGTCTGATTCCCTCTATGTGCCAGTAGTGCTCGTTGAGCCAACTCCTACTGTTGCTGCTGCTGCCGCTGCAATCAAGCTAGCAGCAGCAAAGGCAAAGAAGGATGGTAGGTCGAACAACATGAAGTGGTAGCCGTTCATGTCCATGTTTGTGCTGAACAAGATGTGTGAGCTCATCTCTAGTGGAGTTAGGACTGACAAGGGCTTCAAGGAGGTGCACTTGAACACCGTTGCGAAGCAGGTGTTCAAGTTCTGTGGGCAAGAGATGTCTGCCACCCAGGTGTACAACCACCTGAGGAAGTGGAGAAGTCGATGGATCCAAGTGTCCAAGCTGAGAGACCTTAGCGGCGCCTCATGGGATGAGAACACTTGCTCCATAGTTCTGGAGGCAGAGCACTACGCCGGCCATGTCGCGGTTAGCTCACAGCCCTCTTCCTTTTCATACTGTCCACCATTGCCTACTCCTAATTGCAACTAACAACACTTGTATTTCATTCTTAGGACCACCCAAGGGACGTTGAGTTCCTCAACACACTCATCCAGAACTACAACCAGATGCAACACATCTTCTCCTTCGGGCTGGCAACTGGGAAGCATGCCATGGGCTCGGGTGAGCCTCTTGGTTCTCCCATGCCAGACTTCCCTGGGACACCAGACGTCGAGGTCATTGATGGCCCTGACAAGCCCACTGCGAAGCCCTTCGACAAGCCATTTGACCCCGTCCATGATAAGAAGAGGAAGAGAGGAGGCCTGATGGAGGAGGAGATCAATGTCTTTTGCAGCATGACTGAGGCGGTGAAGGAGGTGGCAACAGCCATGAGGGAGTGCAAGCCCCTCGACATCCACCATGACATGTATGGCGCTGTCATGACCCAGGGTGGATTCAGCGACGAGGCTCTCATGGCAGCTCTCAGCCACCTGCTTGACAATAAGGCCCAGGGTGTTGGGTTCGTTGCCATGGCCCACGCTCACAGGGTGCTGTGGCTCAGGAGCTGGCTGGGCAAGTACTACTACTAGAGTAGTGCTGCCTGTGAGCGTGCATGATCCCCGACGGCGATGGCGGTGGTGACGACGACGACGATGACGATGAAGACGTACATTTTGTGTAGCTAGGGCTCAAAAACTATTTGATGGTCTGTATATTTTGGTGAGGTGGTATATACTAACCCTCACGCTGATGGTGAACTTGCGGTGGTAGGACGACACCCTCTTTTGGATGTGGTGGTAGGTTAACACCAAGGTAGTGCTAGGTTGAACTTGCTATGCCGTATGATCATGCATGCTTTACTTCTCTTCTGCTCCATTGTTGTTTGTGTGCTACTTTGCTTGCTACTTGTGCTCCATTGATTTGCTGCTTCAACTCTTGCTCTTGTGCATTGCTAGGGCAAGTGGTATGCCGTGTTCATCGGTGAGGTTCCAGGGGTTTATAGTTTATGGGAAGAAGCCAATGCACAAGTGGCATCGTATAGCAACAGCAACTATAGAGGGCTCAAGACTAGGCAGGCAGCAGAACAAGCTTACTCCGCCTGGTTGTGAAAGCATGGAGGCAACAGTGTCGACCGTGCCAAGGATGGAGTTGTCAAAGTAGAAGCTGCTAAGGTGGACCATCAGTTCGGCCTGAAGCTGAAGAACTTCATCGTCTTCGCCCAGTTCGTCACCATTGTTGTGTTGTGGCGTTGGTGTGCTAGGTGTGATCATTGTGGGTAAGCTCACCAACTAGGGTACAAGGTAAGCACAACATGTACGTCGTATGCAACCAAACGCCGTGTTCATGTGCCGCTAGGGCCCATGCAGCCAACCAAACAAAGTGCACTTGCGTATTACCTAATACAGGGACTAGGGATTACTACAAAAAAAAGACACATCCGTGACATTTTGGGCCGAACGAAAAAAATTTCTGTCATACATATGACACTTCTATGACGATAATTGTGACAAAACCCGGTATCATCATAGATGTGGTGGGCTCCTACTTCTATGACAAAAAATCATGACAAAAAATGGGCTTTTCGTCCTGGGCGGGCCGGAGACGCAGCTGCATGACATTCTTTGGGCCATCCATGACGGAAAAAACCGTGGTAGAAGCGAGGGGGAGGAAAATTTTGGGGAGTTCTCGGTTACGGTGGGAGGTCGGGGGCCGAGCGATGCGCGTTTCTCTCGTACACGTACGCGCGTCTGTGCGAGGCATTGGCTCTAACTGAACCCGAGCAAGGCGTTGGGCTCTAACTGAACCCGAGCGATTGCACTGCAGGCTACGCGTTACTGAACCCGAGCGATTGATCGATGGCTGTTAACTGAACCCGATCGAGCGATTCCTTGGCTACTGCTGCTAACTGAAGCCGATCG